AAAGAACTAGACCTCAATGCGGGCCTGCATCTATGCAAAACCTTACGGTGCGAAGCTCGCTGAGATAACGTTGAAGAGTACAGTTTGCCACCAGTCTCGGTTGGCCGATAACCCAATCAAGTCTCCGATGCCAACAGAACTAGGTTCAACAAAAAAAGACACACAGCGAGAGAGACGGAAAAAAACATGTATGCAGGATACTACTTCCTGTGCATAGAACTGCCGGTGCTTGCTGTCTTTATTGTGATTGTGGCAACGTCTATGTGGGTGCGAACGCAAAACGCGCACGGGTCGACTCCGCCAGGGCGTAGAAATGTGACACCTGAATGGACTAGGTAGTTCAGATTGACCACAACAGGTTTTTTCTACAAGTCAGGTCAGGAGGTAGGCAGTTCAGATGTTAGCAGCGATAGGGCCGAAAGAATGTCAGGGTCCCACCTACCCCAACCGAAAGATAGAGCCTAAATATCGAACCCCAGTAGCCCAGTGTTTTCAGAAACGCACCAAAAGATCACGCTACTCTTGTCTAACAGGGAAGATGCATTTGCGTCTTACACCTGTACTGCAAAGCACCAGGTTTTAGCCTCGAGTTTACAGTAACAAGAGCCCCCTGCCAGAATCAGACTCCGATGTTGAAACACAACACATTGAGAAACTGCCGTGACAGAGCCCCAAGGATCAGACTGAGCTTCTTGCAAGCTCTGCCACCAAACCCTTCAGCTTTAGAAGCTGACAAAAATGGAACTTAGGGATGAAACCCTGCTCAAGGCGATCACTGACTGGAAAGGGCCCAGCACTTAACTGCTGACTGCCGCTCCAACCCCTTAGGCTCTTCTGAATCAAAGCCTTCCATGCGTTAACCTTTCCACTTGGGCTTTAGGGCCCCAACCCGCAACCTTCCGGGCCATTGCAAAGTCCGAATCCCCCCCAAAATAATCTTCGTCCAGCAAACCCATACACGCTCTCCTCCAAAAAGTGCCCACGCGTTTGGAAGCGAAAATCTGGCAATTCCCGCCTCGTCTCGAACTTCTCTGCCGGCATCGCAGAACTCCTTCAGCCGTAGTTCTGGAATCTATGCATAGCATTCATGGCTCATGGTAAGACACGATGCCATACCACCATGAAGTTTGACCCATCAAGGAATTTGCCGGATTTCCTTGATTTGATTTTACGCGTTCAGGCTTGCCTGACGTCTATTCCCATGTTCCGCACTAGCCTTGGAACATGCGCTTGTTCAGATTTCGCACCTTGCCCTCAAACAACCTTGCACCCCTCAACCAAAACGCCAAGTTTAACAAAAGTGCAGTGACCGACTCTCCGTACTCCACAAACCTGAGCCTTGAACCTCAGCAACTGAAATTATGCTGTCTGATGCCTGCTCCGTAATCATGCCGTCGCCGTTTCCATCCAAGAAAAGGAGGAGGCCGTCCTCCCACTGCTTGGAAATCATGTGCATCAAGTCTGGAGCCATCCGGTTTCCAAAGCTCTACATAAGCTTTACATAGGAGCAGCAAGGCCCAGGTTGGAGGATGTCCCTTCGCCGGATAGGTCTTGGGTTGATGTTTGCCAGTTGAGGGGTTCGGACCTGACGCTTCCGCTTCGAGTTAACAGAACAACGCAACTCGCGTGAGTCCTTAAGCAGTTTCATGGGTTAATCCCGGCCCAACGGGTTGATGCCAACGTCGGCTTTTGCTCATCGCCTCAAGTGTGAGGCCTATGCGGCGTCTGACATCATGCTCTCTCTCTGGAAGGCACACCTGAAATGTCTTTGGCCAGTACTGGAGTCTAAGTCCATATATGTGCCACGAATGCAAACGAAAAACTTTGCGCAAAGCACTTCTGACTCTAAAGCTTCCTGGGCCTTGGATCATGTAAGGCCTCCTCCACCACAGAACAGCTAGGATCTTGGATGAATACATGGATTGGTTGGCCTCAGTTGTGGTTTCAGGGTCTAGGATTCATGGTATCTTCGGCGCTTCTTCGGGCGGTGCATGCATGCTGCGCTTGCGATGTAAGGTGTAGGATCCATGGAAGGGCAGGGCCTGGTAAGCAGCATGCCTCATTCGGGTCTTACTTGTGGTAGGCCGGAAAGTAGATGTGGGCGCGGTACTGCTTGTCAAATCTCAGCCCACCGTCCCGAAGTTGCAACCCTTCCAGCTTGCAGGTGCGAGTCCTGAGAGAGTCTACCTAGCATCCTTCCCCAAAAAAACTCACTTACAAAATTACTCGCCCGCCTTTTGTGGAGAGTCAAAGCAGTCCTCCAGCATCTCTTGGACAAGGCTCTCAAGAACCTGATCGTTCCTGAACAGCCAGGCTGTCAAGAGACCTGCTTTTTCAGAGGTTAGCAGCCACAAGGGCGTAATACCATTATCAGCAAGGCTGGCCAAACCCTCTTGGAAAGCCGGAATGATAAATCTCTATGGCACTAGCTCAATATGGCCGCTGTAGATTGCAGAAAGCTGGAAACGGCAACAATTACCGCCAGAGCCTTAGCACTGATACATATCACTGCTCTGAATACACCCTCCTCCCCTCAAAACATCTGCACTGCACGCAGCCCAGAGACCAGGAGACCACAATCCTTGCCCATCCCAAGTTAACATGCAAATCAAATTTCTTTGGGCAAAGAGGCCCAACCCCCATGACCATGAGCTCTGGGGCCCGCACTATGACACACAGTCGCAAATGCCAATGAAGTTTTACCAGCAATGGGAACCACAATATCTTAAGGGGTGGTGCAGAAGCAAAAGGAAGCTCAGGAAGCATTACTGTTACAGTGTAAGGCCCGTCTGAGATGCCAGTACAACTGCGGAAAATTCTGGATAGCAGCATGGAGACTCTGCGTAGGCACTGACGCGCTAAAACACCGCCTAGAAGCTGCAGCAACACTACCAAAAGCATTATTTTGATCGTTTCGACATGCATCCCTTGCTGGAGGAGCCCGGATCCTACGACTCGGAAAGCCAAAATCATTCGAGTTCCGGGCAGTATGGAGACGTCCAGGTCAAATCCGAGCTGCTCCCTCGTGTGGGTCTTCGTGCGTGTCACAGCTTAGAAAAAACATAGGGTCCCAAACATGCCGCCAAGGATGTAGATTGACTAAGGGGCCCAGCCTGGGAAGGCAAGACGGGCTCGCAGTTTGTACATGTCAGGAGCTCTAAGCATTTTCTTGTAGGAAGGCGAGTGCTTGTGCTGGTTTGATGAAGGTGTTTTCAGTGTGGGTTTTGGTCAGTGTTGCTCGGCACGACGAGCTTCCATGCCTTTTTGGCCTATTGAGGTCTTGGTCGGGTGCGTAAGGGGCCCCCACACAGAGGATGGCAGCATCTGTAGCTTTAATCTGAAGTGTGATTGGACGTCCAGGCCCTGCATAGGGCCGTGGCCCAAGAGAATATCCTCTCTCTAGACTAACGGATACATTCTGACTGCGGTTTCCCACAGTGCAGCGTCTAAAACAACAGATGCGCTACAAGAAGAAACGCGCGAGAAGATCTGGGACAAAACTCAGGTGTAGTTGTGCCGGTATAAAGTTTACTGTGACTTCGTTTGCTGCGGGGTCCTAGACTCCCCCAAACTCCAGGTTAGCAAATGCATGCACCTCACCTTCTTGAAAGCTCAGAATCCTAAAGCCGAAGTCCCCAAGCAAACGCAGTGCCTCATGGCAGCCTTCAATGCAGGGTCGGAAAGCGCTGCTGAAACCTCAGCATTTGCTGCGCAGGCCTTTTTACTTGCATAGCGATTTGAATGTTGGGCTCCAGGTTCAGGGCTTCGCCGCTGTCGTGGAGGCATTGGAACTGTTGCAGAAACCAAACTCGCATTGGTCTAGGCTCTTTCCAAGCCCCAAGTTGAAAAGCTTTGAAAATTTCATACTTGACCTTGCAGCCAAAACCGTGAATTCCCAAACCCCAAGATCCGATGAGACCTTCTTCATAGTACGTTTTCTCAGAAGCAGCGGTCACCAGAAGCTCCTTCCTGCTTGAGGGAGCGCAGCCTGCATGAAGTGCCGCACTCCCGGAGCTTCGTGCGCGCATGGAACTGAGGTTGACCAGCGCAGGGTGGGTTTCAGCGATAGCTAAGACGGGTCAAAAAGGTTAACGTCACCAGGTCATTATACGAACTCATCCATTCCCCCTGATTTATCGAATTCCTCTCTGATGCGAATTACAGGCTAACCTGTCCAAGAAGAGCACTTAATTACACTTTTCCATGTGGCCCACGAGAGGGAAGTTCTCTTGCTCTCCGTGTCCAAATAAATGGCCACCACAACAAGCCTTGAGAAGCTCTCAAACCGCAGAAAGGATTAGGAGCCAGACCCTAGACGTTTGGTTGTCGCTGCAGCTCCTACTTATACTGCTTCTAAACCTGTGCTTCTTAGCGTGAATTGTATGATAACCCCGTCCTGTTCTTCTCGGTAACTACCACCACCCATGGCATACTGCCGATGTTCTGGGTGCCGCCAGGACGACGATGAACTGCCACTGGCAAAACTAGATCCCACACCCCTCAAAACTCTTAACCCTCCCTCGCGCCATGTGCATCTTGCCCAAGCAGCTGTACATTGGGCACTCGCGCCAGCTGTGCCGTAAGGCACAGGATGGAGCCAAAAATGGAAACAGCTTGAAGCCCAAAGCTCATGGAACCCCCAACTTGAACTTCTTCACATAAAGTTCGGAAGCAAATCCTTCCTGTAGGGGCCCTGGACGCTTGGAAAGTGACATATCAAAGTCTGAACATGAAGCCCATACTCATACACCTGGCATAAGCCCTCTGTTCTCTGGAATAACACCTAACATGATCCTCATACATTCAGCTACCGAAGCGAGCCCCAAGGTTGGTACCAAGCACGCACCCCTGCGTTGCATTGCTGTGAAGCCAAATGCAAATCGTCGAGGAGGCTGCAATTACGAAAAAATGCCAGCCGTGGAACATCCTCTGAAAGATACCTATGGCCCCGAATCCCACTGCAAGGCTCATTTTGTTGGGGGCTCCGGTAAGGAAGAGGTCTACCGGCAGCAGTTAGCCGAGGAGATTCGCTGGCCGGGCCCCACGATCGTCCTGTATGCTCTGGGAATTGGGGCTCAGAGTTGGCCGAAGTCTCTGGGTAGAATCGAGGGTTCAGGGGCCTGGGTTGGCTTAGCGGTGGAGGGCGTGGGGTTTGAGAGCCTGAGTGAAGCCCTGCAAAAATACTAAGATACTTACAGCGGCTTGCGCAAGGCCGAGGCAGGCAAGATGTTGGGTCTGGGCTGCACTAGGGTTGAATGTTCCTGCAGTTACAAAAAGAGGCATAATCATTAACAAGCCCGTACAAGCCTGAAATCTAAGCCGTAAGCCCTCAGCATCCGGCCATCCGGCTATGACACTCTTGAACGTTGAAGGTGTGCCTTCTGCAAGCATACGCCTCTGAGAGTGCCAGTACCCTGAAACTAAATGCGCTCCACTCCCAAGGCCCAAGTCTGAATTCTCAAACGCTGCACAGACCACCACCAACACCGCCGCCCCCGCACGCCCGCCACCTTAACCTTCACCGCCACCCCCACCCCCACCCCCACCCCCACCCCCACTACCACCGCCGCCACTGCCGCCGCCACTACTCTCACGTCATTATAAACCATTGCCATTCTAACTCATTTTCCATGCTCTGGCCTGGTGGGTGTGCCGGATGGCGGAGCTTGCCGAGAAACGCGGTCCTTGATCTCCTGTAAGGGTTCAAGGTTTGGGGTCTAGGCTTTGCACGCCAGGGTCTGTGTATACTAGGGTCATGCAGTATTTTCAGTATCGACAGCAGGACACCCCAAGCCCTAAACATTTTCTGTTCGCCAGTTCTAAAATTTCCAAAAAAAATCTATATGTAGTACCAGTTTGGAATGGTTGTAGTCCAGCATGCTTCCCACAACTATCTGCATCAGAAAGTTTGTTGCAGACCCTCTGACGTACTAAATCCGAATGGCGTAAGGCGTAAGAACATCAAGCAGGAATGAACACACAGCATAATCCACATCACTATCCTCATGACCATCTTGTAGCAAGAGCTTGGGGTTGAAGACAGCAGGGCTAAGCATCTATCTAGGGCTGAGGGTTTGGATTTCGAGTGCTGCAATTGCCAATCAAAGGGCAACATGAGTCAGTATGGCATGAGAAGGTGTGTGGGCCTTAGAACCTGCGCTTGCAATCAATCTTTGGAAGCCCTGAGTCGCCGTCGAAGCGCATCATGTTGTTATAGTTCTGCCCTTCTTCCAACCATCCATCAGAATCTAAGTTCTAGCCTTCTGAAGCATTGCCCAAAGGTGACGAGGGGGTTGGTTTTCTTAGCCCAAAAGGCCAACTGACCCACGGGGTGGTTGGTCACGGTTAACCCTTATAATCCCCAAATTTAGACAGTCAAAATCCCTAGTCCACAGATCCCAATCACAAGAAACCTACTTAATGCCGAGAAACACCTTAGACTGTAGCACATACACTTCTGTCTGCTTTTTTCTGTCTGCCAGTACTACATAGTGTTAACAGCATGCGTATGCTGTTGCTTCTGTATCTCTGGTGTCATTATTTCTGGCACTAACCCTGCACAGGCCTTGGCCATCTGGGTAAATGCCTCGTCCACGTTGTGAGCATGCTTTGCGCTTGTCTCGAGGTAGCCTGGTGCTGTTGAGACGTTCACTTTCCCAAGCCGCTGAGGATTGTGGGGTCGGTTGAAGGTTTTAGCTCTAGAGCTTTGGGCCGTGGGGTGTACAGTGTGGGGTTTGCTGAAACAAGCCGAACACTACCCAAACGCTGCCCGAACCTGGGGTCCAAGACATCGTTCCTCAGTCACACATTGATATCAACGAGAACCTAGAAGCCACCAAGAAAGGAACAGGACAAGTGTCCAAACGCAGGTCCTCATTGTTCCTCAGAAAGGAATCGAACGACGCGAAGGAACCCGCGATTTTGGGAAGGCTCACATCGAAGCCCCGCTTAATCAATCAATAAGATACGCCTGTTCTTCTCCTCAGGGATTAGGCCTTAGGAGCCAGGTTTTAGGGGGTGGTGGAGATCGGGATGGAAGGTTGCGGGCATTGGATTTCAGGGCTTGGGCTTTAGAAGGTTACGTGATCAACAGTGTTCTAAAGGTAGGGGGACCCAGAATACAGCAACTTTCGCAGTGTACCACACATCCGATGTGATTCAACATGGTTGTGCCTGGTGTGATTCTGACGCTCAGGAAGACCGTACGTCAGGACCCGGGTGTTCAGCCCCGGAAGGTCACACCTCTCTGGTGTGGGGCTGCTTCTGGAACTGCCCATAACCTTCCATTAGGCACCCTTCTTTTTGGTTGTAAGGCGGCAGAAGGCTTAATGGCCAACACGGCAGAGCAACAATAAAAGACCCTAAAGTCTTCAACTCACAAACCTCCAAGTCCTTTATTACCCAATTCCTTAAGAATCCCCAGCCCCACAGCAGAACAGGCTGCCAAGGCACGTAGGCCGAGCTCATCTGCAAGCTCTTTGGCCTGGGACTCGGACTTCCAGGGAACGGGGTCAGCGGGATTCATGGGGTCCGTGTAGGCTTCAAGGTCTAGAAGCTAGTCTCTGTTCAGTCTGATATCTGCACGCCGACTTTTGGGGCACCATGTTCAGGAGTTGATGTTGAGGCTTTAGGCGCGGGGGTTAAGAATCAGAGCCAACTGGGAACAGCCACAGGAAAGTAAAAAAGGAAAACTTAGGGCTGTCGCAAACGTGCATCCACCTCCTTATGACGATCTTCATAATGCCATAGCTACTTTCTGCAAACATGATGCCGCTGACCGACACATGCCCCCAGTGCATGTACATAAAGCATAAAGCTGCCAACGCCAACACGCCAGCTTGTTCTTGGAGCCTTTTGAGGGAGACAAATTCTGTTGCTTCTTTGGGTGCAAAGAACAGAATGGAATGAATGAAGCCTTCTCCTGACACGGGTCTGGCTCTAAGCAATCACTGGAGTTATGGCCTCATCGTACGTCACGACCCGCTTGGAAGCCATGTCCTGGGCCACTTAGATTTCTCAAGCAGAAGAGGACAGCAGCATGTCTCAGATTTAGGGTCTGGGGACTCGGCTTGGCATGGAGGGTTCAGGAATCAGGGTTTGGGATCTATCAAAGGATCAAAGGATCCGGGATGCAAAACGACAGTGAAGGTACCCTGGCAACCATGTAAGCCATCCAGAGGCGCTATTCTGCAAATTCAGGACAGCCATCCACGGAAAAAGGGCATAGAATCAAAATCCCAGGTTTGGAGTGTGGGTGCCGGGTGTAAAGCATAACTGATTTTAGTTTATGACGTACTTCTCAGGGTTTTTGATTTGCCAGAGCCCGAGAATATCTCGAAAGGGGCGCCCGTGGAATCTTCTGAACAAGCAGGCCCTCAGAATACCCGCCAACAAGTTAAACGATTGGGTCACATTTCTGCTTTTGCTCTAGCCTCTATCCAAAATGCAGAGATGCAAGTCTAGATTCGCACTTGTTGCCCACCAGCATCTTGTTGATGCCTTGCTGCGCATACTTCTCGATCTCCTGATCATCATAGGGTTGGGTTGCCAACTGCAACCGCACTTTGAGCACTCTGTGAGGCAAAACCCAAGGACCTACTGTTCAATCATTCAAGAGTTGCCGGTGAGCCGATGATAAGGCTCATGTTGCCCAACAGCCTTGTTGGCAGCAGCGGAGCCTCCTCCCTGACTGCTGATCGATGAGCCCTGCCTGACTTAAAGTGTGCGAACTCATAGCAATACAGCATCCTCTTGATATCTCAAGAATGCAGGGCTGTTTCCATCAACAGCCCCCCAAACCTCAAACCCTGAACTCCCAAACCTCCAAGAACCCTGAAAACGCCAAGAACAATTGTGGCCCCAACCTCTAACCAATGGCGCACGTTGTGAAAGGATTCGCGATCTGTGAGGTCGAAGGCGACGATGATCCCATGGGCACCTCTGTAGTAGCCTTGGGTTTGGATGCCGTGACGGGTCAGACAGGGCTTTAAGCCTTAGAAGAGTGTTGTTAACAAACCGTAATGGTTGAGGTTGTCGGCCTGGGAGGGCAAAAACTGTAACATCTAGACTCTCGGGCTGCAGTCTTGGCATAAGGGTTCCCTTTTACCTTACGCTGTGGGTTTAGGGGTTTAGTACAGATGATTCAAGCTTCTGAGCGGACGACTTTGCAGCCTACATGTCTGGCGACCACCTGCACTACAGGTCTTCGGAAAGGTGTGCTGTGCATCCATGATCTTGATGGGCTTGATGGGACCTGTAGCAACCTCAGCTGACCCCGGTATGTACCGACATCTGGTAAACTTGGCTCCGCTTACATAAGGACCCTTACATCTCCTGGCATACACGGACACGGGGATTGGGGACCACAAAATCGAACCCTGAAATTTGAAACGACGACGGGATGGGGTGTCTCTTTCGACTTGAGATTGAGGCTTCGGAGTTGAGCGTGTAGATGTTGCAGGAGGATGGCAGATGAAAAGAGTCCGCAGCTTGGAGCTCTGGGCGCAGGGATCACGGCATAGAGTTTCAGAATGGGAGTGCCTCAAAGTGATGGACCCTTGTGGAGTGTCCTTTTTGCGGGGTACACAAAGGCTTATATCAGCGCTCATCCTTTCCCACACCCACCTAAATCCACGTACGTAATCCCCCTGCAGACCCAGGTGTTGCTAGGTTCCGGGCTGGCGCAAATAGTGCGGAATCGCTCCTGACCTTCAAAGAACTGAACTGCCGCGGTATCAAGGTTTGAGTGGCGTATAGGCATAGGGTTCAATGGAAGCCTCTGTCACAAAGATTTCTGGAGCTCAGGGATAGGACGCGCTTGGGTCAAGGATCCTTTATAATGTGTGGACGCAATGCTCTCATGAAGTGTAATCGGATTGCATGGAGATTCTTCGCGACGAAACCTATAGTAAGATGCTTTCCCTCTTACAGCAATGCCGCGCAACTGAACATCACTCCGTGGCGCTCTGGAAGCAAGTGCCTCAATTTGGACTTCTCTAACTTAAGTCCTAGTATGCCCTGCTTTAGAATGAACATGCCTATCCACCGGGGATCTCTCCAGCCAAGCCTTCCTGCCAAACCCCGAAGCTTCGACACCAAAACCAGAAAGCTCGGGCCCTATCCCCAATGCCTGCAGAGCCGAAAAAGCCTAACTGTCCCAAACACAACAACACCCACACAGCCCTGGCGCACCTGCGGTGTCCCAGATCTGCGTCTTCGCTTTCTTGCCATCCTCAGAAAACCAGGTAGAGATGCCGTTCATGTTCTTTTTCTCTTCAAGCCAGTTGCTGCAAGAAGGGGTCTTGATGCCCATGTGTTCCGAAACTCGAAATGCAGATCGCTAAACAATTGCCTTACACTCCCCAATCTTAAGCACTTGAGAACTGCCAGCTGACCCCTTTGGTACTTCAATAACTCCCTAGATCTCGAGCCCCAGAAATATTTCCCGACTTTCACAACTGTGGCCGCACAATCCCATTGAACCCAAAAAGGCGGCCAGCGTCCAAGATCATGGTCCGGATCCGAAAGTCCACTCCGCACGTCGCTACGAAGTTGTCAGCGTAGGTGTCCTGGGCAGTGCATATGAATATGCATAGTAGCTTAGCGAAAGCGGCATGCATAGTTGAATGACCTCCACGAGGATCAGGATAAGCATGGCTGTCAATAAGTGTGAGGACTAATCGATGCTTTGACTTGGACGATACTTGAGTTCTCTGGAGGCATCATGGCAACCCGAAAGTACCAAACACGAGCTAAGCACAAGGTGACAAGTACAAGCATGTCCTACAGGTTTAAACACACGCTTGGAGCCTCGCAGCTCCGTCAACCTGAACCAAGAACCCCAAGGCACGGACAGCCTCGGCAAACCTTCTCTGCAACCATGTTGCAAAGCCCTGGTAAGAATAATGTTCAGTTTAAGCTTGCAAGGTGGAAGTCACGATGCTGTGTGTAATGTATGTAGGTATATGTACCAATCGGGCGGCACCTGTATGTAACACCTGCGGGCGCACACTCTATCACGAGACTTAGATGCCACGAATAGTTTGGCCGGCGCCCACTCGACAATGATTCCTGTTGGACGAGTGTCATCTGCAAAGCGCAGCAGCAGGCACGACTTGCCGACACCTGAACACGGGAAGCTTCCAAGGGCTAGGTAGGCTTGAAACGGGAGACTGCCAGCCAACATGACCTGAAACCAAAGCCTCAAACGCACATCCTAAATCAGCATAATAGCATGTGCCTAGAACCTGCATCTGCGCCCGAAACACCAAGCCCCACGCTCAGAACTGTAAATATTAATGCTGAGTCCCTACACCCCAACCCATCCTCCTCCTCAGGTGGCGAAGCCAAAAACACAAGTCCAAGCACCGCAGACATTCCAAACCCACCCAACACCCAAAGCGTGCCAAAGCCAACCTGAATCTCCGATCAGCACGAGTCGGAAAAGGTAGTCATGGTCCTCGCTTGGCGGCAGAGCGGCCAAGTGACAAAGGCTTTCTTTTAGTTCGGGGTTTGAAGGCTACAGGCAACCGTGTGTTTTGGCCCAGTTTTTGCGTGGTATAGGTTTAGACTAGAGCTGGGACTCAGGGCTAAGGGGCTTGACGGAGCCCGAATACGTACCGACAAAATCTAGAGAAATTCCGCTCTTACATCCTCTTAAAGCAGATCTTGCGCAACTTGGGGTGTAGCACACGAATTGAATTTGACCAAATCGGAAGTATCTGTGTTGGTGCAGTTCTGCACGGCCTCCCCAAGTCCTTTCTCATAGAGACGAAAAAGCTGACACGATTCACAAAGATCCTCAAAACCTGTCCTGCAGCCCTGGCTGTAGGCATAGTCACTAGGACGGAATCAAAAACCTACAGGATCCCTCCGGCAAGCTTAGTTGCTTTTTAGGCACAGCAGTTAGCATGACGAGGAGCGTTGTCAACCGTACTGCCATCAGCCATGGTCGACCATGAAGAATAGTATTGCCATCCCCACTGATCTTACCCATGGAAGATGTATCTCAGATCCCTAGACCCTGGACTCGAAATCTTGTTGCAGTCAGTGTGCGCTGGAAGCAGGCAGAACTGCGCTGGCCATGGCTTCTATGAAGTCGTGAGGGGTGCGAGCGTGGCTTGAGCTTCAGGGCTGCCTTCGGAGGAAAGCTTGGGTCCCAGCAATGGCATTACAAGGGCTGCTAGTGTCTGGGGCACAGACTCTTGCGCTTAAGAGTCTGGGTGCATACGGTTCAGGACTATGCCCTGAAGTACAGCAATCAAACTTGGACCCAGTAAGAACTGAGCTAGGAACTTAGGGATGGCAAGCCAACGATTCCAGACTTAGACTTAGACCCCGGATGGGCTTGAGTAGGCTGTAGCTTTTACACGGATGTAAGGTTGGGGTGCTAGATGGCTTGATCTTGGGGGCTAGGCAGGGGCTCGGAAAGTTTTGCAGAAAAGAAACTGGAAAGAGATAGACTCCGGGAACTACAAGACCACACTGCACCAGAGGAATTATTCCCAATCTAGCAGATACATCCCCGTAGATTGCTGCAAAAGTCCTCTCCTCGACAGTCAAGATATGAAGACCACTGCCTATCTCCAGGCTCCACGCGGAAAAGTTCCGGCGCTGCATTACCTCTGTCAACAGACACCAGAACAGGCTTGGAATTGAGGGAATAGGAAGGGGATTTTCTGTGTTTAAAACGTTTCAACGTCAAGCCCTTGCCAGGCTTCGGGTCTTATGGCCAAACTTCTCTTCGACCCCATGATCCCAGACCTCCGCCCTTGTTTCAGGAAGGGCGGACTTTGGGGATGAAGTATGTGACATAGAGGGTGTAGAGTTTTCAACTTTCAGGTTAGGATGCGGTAATTCTCGAAAGTCTGTGTCCGTTTAGGTGCAGTCTGGGTGCAAAAAGAGTACCCGCGTTTTACATGAGATCTGGACCCTGAACAAGCGGTCGCACGCTGACCTGATCCTCGAGGTCCTTCAGCATGTGGCGGATGTCCTTCGAAAGGTTGGGGCCGCGGGATTTGTCAAACTGCATTCAAATTTTGCACTTTGGCTTGGGTAGTTGGCGCCAAGGGTGTAAGGAGTCGTAAATTAGCCTTTTGAGCTGCACTGAGATGTATGAAAGAGGTGCTTTGGAGTTTCTGGTCTTGCGAATTTGGGACTGGGACATTTGTGCATCTAAGCTATGGATCTCAGGCCCTGGGCTGTCTGTGAAATCAGCTTTGCATCAACACCTGGCCTGGCTCTTGAGGCTGTGGGCACGGGCCATGGGGCATATAGAGATAGCTCATGAAGTTCATAGCCCCTAAGTATTCGGTAGGGACATTCTCATCTTGTACTAAGCTATCCACACTCTCTGCGCAGACGAAGCACGTAAACTGTAACCTTTTGAGATCAAATCACATGTCAAAGCCTAATCGCCCAAAAACAAACCCTGCAGCTTGTATGTTCTCCCGGGCTCATAGGTCTAAACCCCCTGCCATGCAGGCAAGACTGCGAATTCCCAGACCGTAAGCCTCCGCAACACTTTGTCAGGATTGCATTGTCTGGAGGCATTTCCATAATAATTATGTGAGAAGGGTGTGGCAGGGACCACGGGTCATCGTGAAAGCTGTCCAGAACCACCCTAAGATTCAGGCCTCCCGCGACAATACGCCGTCCCCGTCATGATCCAGGTAGAACCAAGCCATCCTCCGGAAGTTTGAGGCTTGATCTGAAAGTCCTTGCTTGGGGAGGACCCAAGGCAAGTTCGGAAGGACTGTCATAGCTGAAATCAAAGAAGAACCTTGGCTATGCTACAAGGTAGCGGGAAACTAGGTCGCAAGTGACGGCTCCACCGGGCGCAATCAAGTGTCCTCGCCCTGACGCGCTTGCTGCATGTCGCTTGTGGTAGCACTGTGTAGCATATGCGTGGCGAAGACATTCAAATTGCTTTTGGTTTCTAAGTCCCAGTGGCTTTTCGGCTTCCGTTTGGAACTGTATTCACCTGCAGATAGTTGGAAAATCCTAAATGCCACTAGCTGTTGGGAGCCCCTCTGACAAACTGATGTTGACCGGTAAGTATTCTGGACTGATGTTACCAAGGCTCAAAGCACTGGTCCAAAACAGGAACTCTCGAGCCTTCTCTTGCGGTATTCTACCGGCGCAGGATATGCTCAGACGATTTTGGACCAAACCCTAGATGAAGTTCTGCGATTGCATACAGTTGCCGCTTCTGACAAGCCAAGCCGCCAAGAGCTTTCAGACCTCAACAAATTTGGGTCTAATGCTTGCGGAAACTGAAGCACGGGTTTTCGGGAATGTGATTCTGGGGATTCTCTCGCAGCGCCTATGCGGTAGTTAATTCCCTAAACCCTGAGCCCTAAACTGTATCCGCACAAGCAAAAGGCGAGGTGGCCCCAACCTGCTGCTCATGCCATGCCTGTCCTTTCTGCGTTGCTCGCCCCAGCGCAAACCCTGGGCACAGAGGGGCTTAGACCCACTTTGATGAAACTGCAGGCCGAAGACAACAGCTGAGATCAAGATTCTGGAACAGGCGATGGTGGGTTGAGATCTCAGGAAAACATAGGCCTGTTCTGCCAGGTAGGAGGTTGAGGGTTGAGGGCTTCAGGTTTAGGATTTCGGGTCTGGGGCTAGAACCCCATGAGGATGACCATGACCACAAAAGCCTAGCCTTGGATTTCAGGATTTGGAGTCTGAAGCAGCACAGCGTAATCATCTACAGTGGAATGAAGTCAGGATTTCTAGATGGTTCCTCGCATCTTTGATACTGATGGAGACTGCATATGATTGCGCACATGTGTGTTCCAGCTGCCGATGCTGATATGCTTCGTTGGAAACCAAGGCATGGTTAGCCGCAACAAATGCATTAGCAACAAGCTGGCCTCGGAGCATGAGTGGGCATTACAGGTCAACACTTTTATGGTTCCCGGAGCGAAGCCTCCGGTCCGGTTCCGTGATACAATCTAAGGTTCCAGGTATCCACATGAATCCATGGCTCCTGATACTACCTCTGAACACCTTTGACTTGTTTTGGTCCGAGGAGATGGCTCCTAAACCATCGCGGTGGTCTTTGCTAAGAAGTCCCAAGCTGTCCCAAAGAAGCCGAAGCGCTGTCCTAGACCAGGACTCGTACCATCTCTGTATTTTGCAGCTTCTGTCGCAGGAGCCTACACCGAAAATCTTGCGCGTGAAAACCCAAACCCGCAAGCTAAGAGGAAACAAGACATGGTCAGGAGTACAATGTTGTTGCGAAGGGATGGAGGAATGAGGATGATAATCCCCTAGGCCGAGGAAGTGCATGCGAGGACCCAGGAGACGCTTCAAAGGACACAAACTTACTCGGAAACCAGAAACACGTACAACAGGCTTCCACTGAGCTGCATGCAGCCTGAGAGAGGTGGGAACAGCGCGATCCACCAAACTACTGGTACGGCCAAGCCGCGGTCTACCTACAACAGCCCTTGGTTTTCAAGCGCCTCCAGTCCAAGTCGTTGTGATCGTGCTGGAACCGATCCTAAACTCGTTCAGACAAACAGGGCTTCTACCCAGATATACAGGGGTCTAGTGGACGGTTTGTAAGGAAAATCCCGCTGGTAGTGACCAAAAGGCCATATGCGGATAGCAGGCTCTTTATGTCTGAGAAGTTTGTGGGTTTGGAGATTCATGGCATTGGCTTCTCAGGATTTTCCCGGGTAAGGAGTTCCCGGGTAAGGAGTTCCTGGGCCTGTGGAATCCTCCTGTGACTTGGCTTCAAGCTTAGGCAACTGGATTCCTCGCACGTTGCATAGGGTCTACGGCGCAAAATCTGCTTGTTGCATTGCTGGGAACAGTCTGAGCAAGTCCGCACTCGGTCTGTTGCTGCGGGAGCATGAGCGAACCAACACATAGTTGGTGAAGGTAAGCTCTGGAATCCCTTACAGAAAACGCACTGAGGCTACCACTGTCACCACGTGAACTCTGGGCCGCCCCTGGTCTATTTTTCGATTTCACAGGAGCTTTAGGTCGCCGACACGCCCACAAGAGGGATCCCTTTCCACCTATCGTATGCCTCCTATGCAGCCTTGGTCCTTGGTGTCCTACAATGCACGGACGAAGTGTGCAGAATGGTGCAACCGAGTTCAGAAAAACTGCTAATCAAGTTCACGTATCTGATCCTGCCTTTCCTTCGGTAAATAAATCTCCTACAACGCTTGAAGAACGTGGGTTGGTACACGGTTTGAGCTTTCATCCTGTCTGAAAACGCGGGAAGACATATGCTCAAAGGTGCCTCTGCATCATCAGCTAGCCCCGTGGAGTCCCAAGACATCCTCTATCTGTGAAAGGTTACTTTCTTGAGATGTTCAGCTTCTGGCCGTGAACCTGCCTTCCCGCAAATTGAAAGCTTGTTTTGTGTCAGGCTTGTGGTACCTTTGAATGACACAAGCTGCAACATGGGCAAAAGTCCCTTCATGCCAGAGGCGC